TGATGTCTGAAGAGGGCCGTTGTGTTTCTGGTTTCCCTAGTGGAAATCTCTCCCCCTCCCCCATTTAAATCTGAAATGAGAAAGAAAGACAAGAAACTGTCCCTTGAGGAGGTGAAAAAGGGGTAATTAGCCCAATTCATACATTCTGCTGAGGCAGATGGATGATTCTGAAAACTCTTGCTTTGCTTGCCAGGAGGAGAGGAAATCATCTTTGAAGCAGAGCTTGGCATATGAGATCAAACCTTCTTGTGACTTTCAGAGCATCTGCAGCATCTTTGAATCATATGTTTAAAAATGAAGATCTGTCTGTTTATCAGTCAACACCAATCACAGGCATCTACCTTTCTTCTACATGTGACATATCCTTTGATCTTCATGCCAGTGATCTTCACCTTCATGTATCCGAGCCTCCTGAGATTTTTAACTGTGAGGTGGCCTGATGCATTACTCAGGTCAAAATGTGAGTTATTCATCTTTTCCCCATTCTGTTGCGCTGTTGAAGTACTTTGAGAAGTGGGATACGGAATTCAGTTCACACTGAGAGACCTAACCTGATTTGCACTTTCCTAAACAATATGGAAGCCAAAACGCAGCCATTCTTTGAAATTTGCACTTCTCCAGAAGAGCACATAACAAAGGAAATTGTAGCAATGCATATATTAGTGAGTATAAAGCACTAAGATGCATTATATGAAGGGAAATTGCTTTCAAAAATGTGTCTATTATGTAAAATTGCATACAAAGATCTGTATATTAGGAGAAATTTGCACTACAATGCTTATGGTGTTGTTGTTTTTTAATGACCCTTTTAAAAAAACCTGATATGAAAATGAGAAGAAGTGAAATTAAGATTGGAAAAATGATAAAGAAAAAAAACTGAAATTGCTAGATTGATCCATCCTCATTTGACCTTTTTTCTGAGAGACACCTACCTCTCTATGCTTCCATTTCTGAAGCTAAGGATATCTGGGACTGTTCACTGCTTACAGAAGAGATTGTATATGTCACCCTCCCCAATTGGTGCCCTCCAGATATTTAGGGCTGCAACTGCTGGTTGGGGCTGGCAGAAATTATAGTTCAAATCTTTAGACTGGGGAAGTACTAACCCAGGCTAAAGGCTGTATATGTCAACTTTCCTCAACCCAAGTACCCTCCAAGATTCAAACTATAATATCTGCCAGAGGGTATTATGGCTCAGAAAGATCTGTGACAATAACTGGACTTTGGAGAGTATATTCTCCAGCTTGGGAAAATCCCTGCATTCAGTAAATAGGGTCTGAAAAGTAGCAAGCAGACATTCCTGTTCCATAGACATCAAGCCCTTGCCAAAATTCATGATAGGCATGCCTGAAATCCTCACTCCCAAGTCTTGCTAGGGTGGTGTAGTGGTTAAGAGCGATAGACTCGTAATCTGGAGAACCGGGTTCGCGTCTCCACTCCTCCACATGCAGCTGCTGGGTGACCTTGGGCCAGTCACACTTCTTTGAAGTCTCTCAGCCCCACTCACCTCACAGAGTGTTTGTTGTGGAGGAGGAAGGGAAAGGAGAATGTTAGCCACTTTGAGACTCCCTAGGGTAGTGATAAAGCAGGATATCAAATCCAAACTCCTCTTCTTCTTCTTCTTCTTCTTCTTCTTCTTCTTCTTCTTCTTCTTCTTCTACCTTCCTTGCATATGCGCACTAACTCACTAGGCAAAAGCCCAAGGACGAGACAAAGCACTTGCTCCCATATTTTTATTTTGCACAACACACTATAAAGCAGATACGTTTCATGTTTTTGACTGCATGCAGATAGATTTTAGTGTTTTGTACACAACGGCGATGGGAGCAATTGTTCCATCTTGGGTTACAATTTGATGCACACTTACTTGTGAGCAAGCACCATTGAGTGCAGAGGGATTTACTTCTGGGTAAACATACACAGGGTTAAGTAAACTAGTATTTATGTGCTATAGTACTTTACAGCTGTTCCCCCCCCCCAAAGGTTGAAGCACAACGGGCCATTTTCTAAAACAGTAAAACTTGTCTTCAGCTCTTTCATCCGGTTTTAAATCCCCACTTTCCTGCTTTACTAAACAACACATTGTTTGAAAAATTCCTTTTCTAAGCCATGTATATGCCATGCACACACACACAAGTGCAAATCTCAGTGTATATTGTATGAATATTTCCAGGTGTATATTTCCAGGTGTGTGTGTGTATAAAATGAAGACATAGAATAGGAATCAGGAGAAACAAAATGACATTGGGAGTCATCCTGAAACTTTCCTCCCAACAATCCCCCAGCTAAACCCTTCCCTTTCTAGGCAATTTGGGTAATGTGGTTTCTCCAGTAATAGAAAACAGACTTCTTGATGGGCAATGTCCCAGCAGGCTGGGTAAGGCATAGCAGGGGTCGTCTGAGATGTTTCAGCACCTGACGTGAAACATCCCCCTGCTGCAAGGGGGGAGGGGGCAGGCAAACTTCACAAGGGCTTTTCCTCAAGGAAAAGCCCCCCCCCCATCTACCTTACACAGCCCTCTGCAACAGAACCCATTACAGAGTCCATTTTCTTTTCCTTGAGGAAAAGCCCTTGTAGAGTCTTTTGCCTGCCTCCACGCCTGGTGGAAAGAGAAGCTCTCAGAAAGCTTTGCCAGCACAGGGAGAGGGGAACTTCAAGAAGTGTATCTCAATACTACTACTAATAATAATAATTCATTTATACCCCACCCATCTGGCTGGGTTTCCCCAGCCACTCTGGGCAGCTCCCAACAGAATATTTAAAGCACAATAAAACATTAAAAACTTCCCTAAACAGGGTTGCCTTCAGATGTCTTCTAAAAGTCAGATAGTTGTTAATTACCTTGACATCTGATGGGAGGGCATTCCACAGGGCAGGTGCCACTACCGAGAAGGCCCTCTGCCTGCTTCCCTGTAACCTCACTTCTCGCAGTGAGGGATCCGCCAGAAGGTCCTCAGAGCTGGACCTCAGTGTCTGGACTGAACTTGAGGAAAAGCCATTACCAAATCTCCCTTTCTACCCAGCCTCAAAACTGGGTGGCAGAACGCCTCCCCTCTCACCAACTTGGAGAGAGTGGGGAACATTCTGCAAGGTGTTCCTACTTTTCTTCTCCAGCCAGGGGTGGGGAAGAGGAGCAGCCGTGTGGCACACTGGAACATCTCTCGCCTACTTGGCAGAGGTGGAAGCAGTGGGCAGGGCACCAGTTCTTGTGTTTCCACCGCCTGAGGCAGCTGCTTCACCCCACCTTATCAGTGGGCTGGCTCTGAATCAGACACTCCATGTCAAAAGACAGGTAGTCAGCAGCCATTGATCATTCAGCAGTTTCATAAAGGGTATGTTTAGTCAATCGGATCATGCATAGTTGTGTCCACTGTAAGTATTGAGCTTGAATCATCTCAGGAAATACAGTGAAGGATGTTTACTATAATTAGAGTGGAATATGCTTGCAGGAAGAAATCCATTACTTGCAAAGGATAATAAATGACGGAATTAGAGCCCTAAACTGCATTAGATATGGCAGTGGTTCCGGATGATTAATTAGAGAGGTGCATAATTATTGGTTACCACCCCACTATAGCAGCCACCCTGGGGAGGATCTTTGGCAGATACTGCTGGGGTTTCCCATGAATAAATGAAATTGGGCTTGAGCTGCCTCAATTGCTTGCACTACCACTATACTTGTAGCTCAGAGTGAAGGCAAAATAAACACATAGGTTTTGGGTCGTGTGCAAAGATCCAGTCAAATCAAGCTTCTTGCAAGAATGCAGCAAGGTCTTTTTGTTGCTGGCACCACTACTAGCGGGTCAATTTCCATGGGAAAGAGAGAGGAACCCGCAGCAACAGGAAGGCATTGATGTACAGTGGTACCTCGGGTTAAGTACTTAATTCATTCCGGAGGTCCGTTCTTAACCTGAAACTGTTCTTAACCTGAAGCACCACTTTAGCTAATGGGGCCTCCTGCTGCTGCTGCACCGCTGGAGCACGATTTCTGTTCTCATCCTGAAGCAAAGTTCTTAACCCAAGGTACTATTTCTGGGTTAGTGGAGTCTGTAACCTGAAGCGTATGTAACCCGAGGTACCACTGTATTTGGAATGCTGATGGAGGAGGGTGTTGAGTTGCATGGAGGAAAAATTTAAACACGTAGCAGAGTTCCCAAAAAATAGACCAGAGGCAATTGTACTTCATCCAGCAGAGCTTTACTGGTCACAAATCCAGTGCATCCAGGATTGGCACAGTCCATAAAGTATCCAGTTGCAGCACATACAATAAAACTTATAAACTTCTAACAAGACTAAAACTTAACACTAAGCATACTATGTACAGAACACCACACCAGAACAAAGAGATATAAAGAGAAAGTAAGCCCGAACTCCTTCTGGCCTTACTATTATAGTCAGCATGACCTTGACTGAAAGAAGGAACAGAATATGTACATTTTAGTTCTCCTCCTCCTCCTGGCATTTGACTCCATTACTAGATAGAAAGCATCTTTGTAGCTTCAAGCACATCATCGTAATTTCAAATGAAACTTTTGCCTGGTACTCTAAGTGACAAAAGGCATGCTAGAGATAGCTCAGTCTGTATTCTTAAGTTCATTCTGTCTCATTTTTGTATTAATCTGCAATAATAATAATAAAACCCCACACAGAAATTCATCCTTTAAAAAATACATACTGTTGTACCTTGGATCCTGAGCACCTTGCAAGTCAAACATTTTGGCTCCCAAATGCCGCAAACCCAGAAGTGAGAGTTCTGGTTTGTGAACGTTCTTTGGAACCCAAACATCTGACACAACTTCCATGGCTGCAGGAAGCCGCGCCTGGGTTTCCAAACGTTTTGGAAGTTGAACAGACTTCGGGAATGGATTGTGTTCAACTTTTGAGGTACCACTATATTTGAATATCTATTTCAGGCTTAAACATACATCATAGATCATAGATTTGTAGAGTTAGAAGGGAATCTGAGGACCACCTAGTCCAACCCTCTGCAATGCAGGAATATGCAGCTATCCCATACAGGGATTGAACCTGCAACCTTGGCATTATCAGCAGCATGCTCCAACCCAGGCTTCCACAACCTCAGCCCTCCAGATGTTTTGAGACTACAATTCCCATCATCCCTGACCAGTGGTCCTGCTAGCTAGGGCTCATGGGAATTGTAGGCCAAAAACATCTGAAGGGCCGAGGTTCAGGAAGCCTGCTCTAACCAACTGAGCTATCCACATATTCTTTCCTAAAATGTTTTCCTTTTAAAATATATTATTCTCTGTTCTTTTGAGCTGAGAAATGTATTGCAAAATTTGAGACATGATTTCTAATCCATGTGTTTGTGTTGTGAATTAGATCTGTTGGCTTAAAAATGTGGTCCAAATGTAATTCCCTTTCATCCCAGGTCCATGTGCCTGCATTTACACACAAGAGCACTGGACTCAAGATGCACCTTTAGCTCCCAGTCCAATTTCATGGACTGAAATTGCACATTCAAGGGAGGCAACTGAAACCTAAAGAATGGCAACACTTGTGAGTCATAGTAGCAAGTTGAAACAAATACACTACAAAGACAAAATGGGGAGAAGCGGATACAGTAACAAGAAAATGTAAATAAGGACTCCTTCTTGAAATCAGAGGACAGTTTATTGATTCCCCAACAGACCACAATGCATGATGGTTGGTGGACCGAGTTTGGCTTACAGGGTCACAGTTTGTGTTGGTCCAATCTGCATGTAGAAATCTTTAAGGTGGCATCAGCAATGTTCTTTGCTACAATAGTGTTGCCCTACTGAGAGAACAAGTTATGGGAAGGAACCACCTAAATGGTCGAGCCCATCATCCCTAGTTAGCAAAACCAGTGGTCAGGGATGATGGGAAATGTAGTCCAAAAACAGCTGGAGACCCAGGTTTGGGAAATGCTGGGCTCTCCTATGTAGATGTCACATCCAGATCAGGGATAGAGAGCCTTTTTGCACTTCATGTGTTATTGGATCACAACTCCCAATGGCTATACCGGCAGTGGCTGATGGGAGACGCAACGTAGCAATATCTAAAGGGCAACAGATTCCCTATTCCTGATCCTACCAGCAAAGCACGGAAAGAAAGAAACCACAGAGGAAGGGCTCCAGTGCTACAAATGTCTGGTGAGATGAGTCAATATTGAATCTAAATCAGCCTTAGTAATTCACACACCCTGCACTTCCATCTCGCTTTGAAGAGATTTATGTGCTGAAGTAATACTGTAAACTGGGAGAGGCTTGTGGTCTTCACAGGAGAGTTATCTCTGTTGTAGCCATTCAAACATATCATTTCCCCGGGATGTGTCTCCAACGAGGGCAGATGGAAACATTTCCCAGAACATCTGTTACCCATCATTCTTCTGTGCGGCAACCCAGATGCTGATGACAACTTGTATGCAAATCACGCCGACAGTTTGTTCAATGTCTTTCCTGTTGAGACTGGGGTGGTTCTGGTCATAGCATTTATCTGATAGAGAAGATGTTGCCATCTCACAATAAGAGATGCAAATGTTTAGTCAGGGAATGGGCATGCAGCAATCAATATATAGATGAACAAATTTATGTACCTTGGTTTGATACACGTCTGATGGCAAAAAAAAGTTTCTTATACTTTTAAGCATGGCCATCAGATTACATATTTCTGTGAAATGCCATTCATTTTATATATATATATATATATATATATATATATATATATATATATGCCCCCTCCCCCTTCTCTTTCTGACCTTGTATTTCAAAATTACTTTTATCTCAAGGATGTGACATATAAGAGAAAGAGACTGTGCAAGTATTACTGTATAAATGTCAGCCTTTTTAAGTTTGCAAATGCCTGCTATAAAACATTCGCATTACAAGAGTTTGATTTACAACCTGTTATCAGTCTAAGATCTATCTTTCTCCAGTTCTGAACTCTAAACGAGACAGGAACATTTGGATAGTGTTGAAAAACATAGATTCAAAATGGATCCCCTCTTTTAATTAACCCAGCTCCTCAGGTTGAAAACAAAACCGCTGGCATTTAACAGATTATTATGGCATCATGCATCAACCTTCGATAATATCAAGCCATCAAGAACAAGGACTTTTAATGTGCAACTATAGAACATAAGGGCAAGAAAGGTGCAGGCCTTGAAAACTAAATTATCTTTACAGCATTAACATTTATGTCTCTAAAAGTATTTCAGCATCAGAGGCCATAGTGTGGTGTAGTGGTTAAGAGCGATAGACTCGTAATCTGGGTAGCCGGGTTCGCGTCTCCGCTCCTTCACATGCAGCTGCTGGGTGACCTTGGGCTAGTCACACTTCTCTGAAGTCTCTCAGCCCCACTCACCTCACAGAGTGTTTGTTGTGGGGGAGGAATGGAAAGGAGACTGTTAGCCGCTTTGAGACTCCTTAGGGTAGTGATAAAGCGGGATATCAAATCCAAACTCCTCCTCCTCCTCCATAGTCATCAAATGGCCTTGGAGTATTCAGGCTGAAATCAGTAGAGCTACTCCAAGACAAGTGGTTTGTAGTTGGATCACTGTCGTTGATCTCTTTCAGGTGCAAACTGTACAAGCATCTTTGAGACAAATGGTTGCCTTACAGCAGTGCTGGGTGGATTTGTGGATTGTAAAGTTTTTTTTCCTCTTTCAGAGAGCTCTTTGTTTATTGGCACGGCTGCACATCTCTTATGGGAACCTTGTTTTATTTTTTAATTATATTTTATTAACGTGATGTCAATTAAAAGAAATAAAGTGATATGGGGGGGGAGAAGGAGAAGCGAGAGGGAGAAAAACGATGGCAACACAGATGCAAATGAAAGTGAAAATATGCAAAAAATAAAGAGAGCAATATACAGTATTCCCATACTTGAATCTGAAAGGATGTGTTGTAGTTGTTGTGAATTGTTCTATCAGTTGTGATGGGGGGACTTGACTGGACCTCATTCTCGCGTTCTTTTCTGCCACATTTAAGCTTCTACACCAAAACGCAGGTGGTGCTGTGATCTGAACTACTGAGCCTGGGCTTGCCGATCAGAAGGTCGGTGGTTCGAATCCTCGCGATGGGGTGAGCTCCCATCGCTCGGTCCCAGCTCCTGCAAACCTAGCAGTTTGAAAGCACACAAAAAAGTGCAAGTAGATAAATAGGTACCGATCTGGTGGGAAGGTAAATGGCGTTTCCGTGCGCTGCTCTGGTTTCGCCAGAAGCAGCTTAGTCATGCTGGCCACATGACCTGGAAAAACTGTCTGCGGACAAACGCTGGCTCCCTTGGCCTGTAAAGCAAGATGAGTGCCACAACCCCAGAGTGGACTTAACCTTTATCTATACCTTTTTACCAAGGCATAGCATACACCATCCAAAAGAAAAAAGAAAAGAAAAGGGAATGGTAAGTGTTTCAGCAGCTCTTTTTAGAAACATTCTCACATGCTGTGCGTGTTGCCTACAGGCATATGTAAAATCCCATTCCCTACTGGTCTTTCAAAAATGAATGTTGTGACCTTTGCAGCAGAGAAAGTAAATTCATATGAAACTGAATGTTCTGTGCAAAGAGATTATGTATGCAGATGGATATATAATCTTGTTACCTAACCTATGGCATTACCACTGAGCTCGGTAATTTTGAAGACATTTTTTTTCCTCATCCGCTCCTTAAAACTGTCTTCAAAAACTCCTTAATACAGTGGTACCTCGCAAGACGAATGCCTCGCAAGACAAAAAACTCGCTAGACGAAAGGGTTTTTTGAGCTGCTTCGCAAGACGATTTTCCCTATGGGCTTGCTTCGCAAGACGGAAACGTCTTGCAAGTTTGTTTCCTTTTTCTTAACACCGTTAATACAGTTGTGACTTGACTTCAAGGAGCAACTCATAGAACGCGGTGTGGTAGCCTTTTTTGAGGTTTTTAAAGACTTTGGTGATTTTTGAAGCTTTTCCAAAACTTTCCCGACACCGTGCTTCGCAAGACGAAAAAAATCGCAAAACGACAAAACTCGCGGAACGAATTAATTTCGTCTTGCGAGGCACCACTGTAGTTTTTTCTGTTGCAGTGGGGGAATCAGTACCACAGACCACTACTACCGCAAAGCGTGTACCTTATTTAAACCTTCCTTCTAAAACCATTCACTAATTTTAATTGGCTGTATTCGCCAAGATGAGCAACCGAGGGCCCGGTGAATTTCTGGCAAAACCAACCGATTCCCAGCTCAGCTGGGAATGATGGGAGTTGTAGTTTGAGATTAATATCGACTCTCCCCTCATCCACATTAACAGTTAATTGGTGGCACAATTAATGCCTGCTCGCCTTCCCTTGCCACACTCCTCAAGTTGTTGGGTGCGGTTTTTTCTCTTGACTATCTTATATTTTCAGGAGCAGAAATCTGCATGTGGAAACTCTTCTACGTTTGAATAGCACAGGTTGAATCTGGAAGATTTGACTCCAATCCCAACTGATGCAATGCACACCCGTGGTTTTTCCTGTACTTTCAGGTGCTCTTAAACTCTTCTTGTGGGAATCAGGAGCAGCACCCTTAGTGGTTCTCTGTCAGGGACTGTGCTGAAGAGGTCTACACTGAGGAGGAATAGTGGGAGCTTGCCCCTCCCCCTACTCCTGACCAGGATCCTGAATCTTCCCAGGAGCAGGGAAGTAGTATAGATTCAGAACAGTGGTTTGCAGAGGGACATAGCTCAGACGGCAGAAGCTGGGAAGTAGTGAGTGGAGAACAGCTAGGAGGAGAAGAACTTGGAGAGAGAGAGAGAGGGTTAACAGATTCCCTGTCACTGGAAAGCGTCTAGCTGATCAGCCCAAGGTCAAGGAGAGCAGATAAGCTGGCAGCACAGAATGCACAGTGGTTGCGAGATCAGATTCCAAGATGCGGAAGTGAAGTGGGTGACTAGGGAGGAAGTGGGTGGAACGCTTAATTGGGAGCACCTTCATTCTGAGGAATGGATTCTTTGTTCTCTCGCTGTGATCATCAACATTTTTAACTGGTAACAGACTCCTTCTGCTTTGTTCTGCTTATCTACTGCCAAGGGGGGCGGGGAGCTGATTCCCTGAAGCCTGACATTCTCTGAATGTCTGCTCCAAGGTCACAGGGAGCAGACCATTCAGGGCTGAAACACCTGCCTCCTAGAATTCACTTTGTATTAATGCTAGGCAGGTCCCAGATATATGTCCCCCTGGCCAACATGGTACAATGTTGTTCTGAATTTTATATTATTATTGGTTTTTTCAT